TGAGGATAACCGAAGCTAGTAGTATTTATGGAGTGCTTAGTATATGTGAGGCACTGTACTATGCTCTGGTGCATGGCATGGCTCTGGTTTATTACAGTAAAAGGTGGGAAGGATCACGCGTTTATCTGCATATGGTCCCTGTTCCTTCCTTCCCGAGCTCAGACAAATAACTCTCAGAAAGCATGTGAGTTCTGCTTTAGATATCCCAGAGTCTATAGGCCTTTAATCAAGCATTTTCTTTAGTTATTGCCAGCTGGATTTTAACAAATTCCATGGAGCCTACTCAATTTTATGCATCCAGCCAGTGGGGAGGGAGCTTCAAGACATTTCAGAACTGATGTCCTGTTATACCTTCCATGAAGTAAAGGGAAGGCAAGAATTTTGTTTATTCATTTAAAAAAATTTTTTTTGTTCTTTTTAGATATACATGACAGTAGAGTGCATTTTTTGACATGTTATACATACATGGAGTATAACTTCCCATTCTTGTGGTTGTACGTGATGTGGAGTTACACTGGTTGTGTATTCATATATGAACACAGGAAAGTTATGTCCAATTCATTCTACTGTCTCTCCTATTACCATCCCCCCTCCCTTGCCTTCATTCCCCTTTGTCTAATCCAATGAATTTCTATTCTCCCCCGCCCTGCCCCCCTTATTGTATTAGCATCTGCATATCAGAGAGAATATTCTGCCTTTGGTTTTTTTGGGGGGATAAGGCAAGAAACATTAAGACACTTTTTATTACTTAGAGAAGTTTTATTTGGGGGGACACCACAGTGCAGAATTAAAACATTGTTTCACCTTTGTCTCACACCAGCCTAAGCTCTCAGCTTCCAACCCTCTTTACATGGAAGTCAGCCTGGTCAGATGCAGAGCTTGGCTGAGTAACTTACATGGAGATATGAAATATAACAGGGACAGCCACCAAAATGCACCACTTTCAAAATTCCTGTGTTTTCAAGAATAATCATTTTCTAACACATCATTTGTTCTCATCTTCAGATATTCATGGAATAAAATTCATGAACTTAATTTTTAAAGTTGTTCTTCATCGGTTGGCAGCATTCTTACCAAATGACACAGCAAAGTGCATATTTTTTCTTCAGAAGTTCTGAAGAAATTCAGCCACTGAAAAGAATTTAACTTGCACAATCAGCATCACTCTACTGAAAGCCATTAAACTGTAATTATGGTGATTTAAAGAAGTCAACTTGTGAAAGAGGAGCTGATTGTTTCAGTTTGTGTAGGGGACACTAATAACACTGTAGAATCCTACAAGGATTTTTCTCCTCTGATGGGCAGGGGAAAAAGGAAAACACTTCAAGACATGAGAAACTTCTATAACTTTATGGAACCTGAAGAATAATGACTGCTCAAATTGCATGCTTTAGTGACAAAGTATTTTTACAGCTAACGGGGACCCAGAAACACAATACATTTAATAAGCAGGTAGGAAAACCAATCACGAATTAACATCTATCACATTCCACAACATAATAACATCTTTGTCAATCTTTTAAAAAAGGGTTCACTGTTCCTATGAGAAATAGGGTCAAATGCCAGCGATTGCCCAGATAAAACCTCACCCTCAGATAAAACCTCTATTACTGGTAATTGCAAATTTCAATCCACATCTCCTTTTAAGAGACTTATTCTGGGGACTAAGACCAGGACTTTTAAAACTTCATTTTCTCTAATCACTGCAAGATAATATCAAACTTGTACTGAACTTGGAAAGTGGTCATGACTCACTCCACAATAATAAGCTAGAACTATCAGTGCTTACAGTGGAGAGCTAGTCATTTGCAGAAATACTTTTCTTTACCAAGAGGTTAAATGAGCCTCCCCTCCCTCCTGTCTCTTGCAGAGGACCATATGCCTTTAAAAATACATTACTAGTCGTCAACAAACTAGGGTTGGTTCTCACAGTTAGTTTGCTCATTTATTCAACAAGTACTTATAGGATACCTATTATGTATGAGTCACTATTTCAGGAACTTGTGGTGATACAGCAGTAGATAATCCCCACACCCCCAGAGATCTCCTATTTAACCTAGACTGACATAAGCAAAATAAACCAAACCTAAAGGCTTTTAGAAAGGAAAGGTGTGTAACAATCTGTTTCTCAGATTTTCACAGGAACAAAGGCCACCTCAACTCACTCTGGATGGGAAAGGGTATGTAATAAACGGAGTTTCCACACACAAAGCATAAATGTGCAAACCAGACCCACCACACAGATGGAAGTTTCTAGCTTTCTCACAGCACATCTCTGAAGAAGGACGACACATTTTATCCATGCTATGTCCACCCTCTCCACACCTGGGTGAGGCTGGATGGGACAATGACTTAAAGAAGACAACAAGGCATTAGCCTCGTGACTTGGAAAAAACAGCTGCCTGCTCACTCCAGGCCCGCTGCTGCTCCATTCACTCTTTTACTGACTTTTTTTGGGACTAACTCTAGTAAATGAAGGCAGTTACTTAAAAATACACAAATAAGATTTAATTAAGCAAACCCACATCTGAGGCCTGATTCAGAAGTAGTGTCCTCAAGAGCAGAGGAGCCCTATTATCTACGAGGGGCTGGCTCTTCCAATAGGCCACAGCTGCTTCTCCTCAGATACACAGGTAAGATCCTCTTGGAGTTATGTTTCAAAGATGTAGAAGCATATATAGAATTTTTGGTGTCTGTATGAGAGGGTGTGTAGCTTTAAAAATATTTGCAAAGGGGTTTATAGCCCCCCATAGTTTAAGAATCTCTATATTAGAGGCCTCTGCCTGTTGCTTGATAAAATTAAAGGTGTGCTGGAACACTGTTTTAGGAATATCTGTGCTGCTCCCAGCTGCCACACTATTGTTGTGAGTCGGTTCAGCAGCTTCACAGTAGTTCCCGAGGAAGACATGAGCCAGAAACCAAGTCAGCAGTCCCGGAGTGGCCATTAAGGGTCTGTGTGTGTCCTTCATAAAGCAGTGAGTGCTGATGAAAGCATTCCTCCTCACCCTCAGAGATGGGCTCCCAAAAGCGGTCCACCAAGCCAACAATTCAGTGGTTGGAAGAATTAACTTTCAAGGCCAAGATATGTCGCCAGGTATCCACACCAACTTTTCAGAGCTATGGCTATTGCTCATCATCAACTACTCCACAGCTATTCTCCCTGCTCCCCTGAAGGAAGGTAGAGAGGGTAATTGTTCAAAATCACAATCTATGATATTGTTTTGCCCAGACATCAACCTAGAGGTTTTGTGACTATTAAGAGGTTCATCTGCCTCTAGGAAAAATTATAACTATATTCTTAAAATCAGCTATGTGGGGGCAGGTGGGGTTGGGGGAGAGACAATATGGTGTCTCCCAAGAACATGGAGCGTTTGATGATTTTCTAGCAGGGCTTTTATTGTGGGTGATATTTCTCTTCTTAGTAGCCTTTTACGAGATTCTCAAGTCTTCCAACATGGGTCCTTCCTATTTGTATCTGCATGGCTAAGTGCCTAGTTGATTCCTGGGATACTGCAGATCCTACTGGAATTCAGAAAGTGAGACTGGGAAAATTAAGTGAAGCAGAGGTCAAGGCCCCCAATTATTTGAACTCTGATGAAAGTATTATACGTGGTAGGACTTGGAGAGTTCCTAGTTTCCCCAAAATATCCATTTTTACCATTTCAAAATACAAATTAGGGGTAGTCCACAGGGAAGATGCTGCTTCTGAAAAAAAAAATCATAACTTAGAAAAATATATTTTAAAAATCTTTTCAAATTTTCAATAAAGAAAGCAGAGAATTATGGTAGATTATCTCAGATACAACAATATAAAAGTAGCAAAATCAATGACTTAGATTACTGCCATTTCTAAGTCACACTATAATTCAAGAGTAATAAATATCATGCAATGGACAATAATTTAAAGCACTGATTGCATCCTTGATATTTTGTCATTAGCTGTCCTCTTCAGAAACTGTCACAGAAGTACAAATAAAATCTGCTTTTCTGTATATTCTGAAAGGCAGATAGCAGCTTATACAACTTCTGTTCTTCACCAGAATGCTATCAGATTAGGTAAACAACTCTCCTCGAGGGCCAAAAGTAAACTCTGAGCTTCCTGAGGGTTACTCGTGTAAGCAATGTATTAACGTTGTAAGAATTAAATTGGAAGAACCAAAGATTAGAGGTTTTTGTGTATAAAATGGGAACATACAATATATTTACATGGCAGAAATGTGAAGTTTTTTTTAACATATTATGAGTTAGCCTTAAATATTTATGAAATAGTGTATCCATTCTTATTCAACCATTTGTAACATTTATGTTACAATTTTCCATCAATACTAGGATGTTCTTCTCAAAAATTCTCAATTCTGACATTGTATGAGTGAAAACACATTTTTAGAAGCTGTGCTTAAATACAAATAAAATATACTGCTGGCTCCAAGAACACCATATGTCAAATGTCATTTATGTGCTCTAATCATATTAGGCCAAGTGTCCTTGACTGTAAACATTCCTGTGTTCTGATAATATTTGAGTAGAATTCTGTTTTAGATGTGTTTGACAACGCTCTATAGATAACCTCTTTGAAAGCGACTGAATTTGCTTCTTCTATAATTTCAGATTTGTCCTTTGGGCTCTCTTCCAAAGCCTTTTTTCTTGAACTGAGGTCACGGTGGTATTAACTGAGCACCCTTTATAATCTATCTCATTAACTAAGTTTTCAGCCAGATGAGCACTTGGGCCCGCTGCCCTTCACAGAGGAGTGAAACACACAGTGGTGAGAGGGCCACAACTGGCCAAGGCTGACGAGGAACTGTGGAGACGGATCAAGTGGATGAGAGCCAAGACACCAGACTATACCCAGCTGAGGACCCTGCCAGGCTCAGGTCAACCTAGTGGTCCTCAATTATCCAGTGAAGGCTTTTCTTGTCCAAGTCAGTAAGGGCATGTAAGAAGATTCATATTAACTTATATTCTGACATGTTTATTATTATTTCATAAAACAAACCTCCCAAAGTGCCTGCTTTCTACTAGCTCTCGGTCTTGTGGTAGCATGGGTACTGAAAGCTGTTTTTCCGAAGCTCTGAATGGCTCTTCACTGCTCTTACTAATCCTTCCTCTTTTCACTGATGAAGACTTAACACATGTATATTTGCTAGAGTTTGCAATCTTCATGTTGCTTCTCATAAGAAAGTCACAAACCATTCTTCATAATATCTTGCTGCCCATTATGTTCCTCGGTAAGACAAGCTCAATCTCTCTACCAAGACCCATTCATTTACCACAGATCAGCTGTGAACCCAACCAGGGTGCTTTAGCCAAAATGAATTCATGTCACAGATTGGTAGTTCAAGAACAAAATCATCAGCAAGAAGAATTTAGAAGTCTCTGTCGAGCATTCTTCTCTCCATTACTTGTTTTAGTTTCACTGTGTATGTCCAAATCTGTCAAAATTGAAAGCAAATATTTATGAAAGGCATGTAGCAAGAAGTACCAATACTAAGTAACTTCTCTTCTAAAAGATCCTTTTTATCTACTTTGCTTTACTCCTTAGCCTAATTTCAAAGCAGCGAGTTAGGTCAAGGCAACAATTAAATCAATAACTCTCTTGGTTCCTTTTAAAATAAAAAGTTGGAGAACAATAAATGGGTCAGAGGTACAGAGAGAAAAGCCAGTAAGACAAGACAAATAAAAGCAAGAAAGACAATAAGGAGGTGTGCTGGGGCAGCAGGCAGAATATGAGACAGAGAGAGAGTCAGAGAAGGAAGACAGAAAAACCAGAAAAAGCACAAAGTGATCATCTTTGGAAATTTGGGGTGGCACCAATTCATTCCCTCTCCCTTCCAGTCTTGGACTCCCCAGGGACCATAATAGGACAATGATGGTTCAGATGACCGATGGGGTAAAGATGGTCAATATTCATAACGGGCTGCTGCAGAGTACGCTGTGGCTCCACAGCCTCTGCCCTGAGAGCCAAGCCTACCTTTGAGCTCTGCCATCTGGGCTTCTCCCTTGGTCTCTGCCGACATGGGAGATTTGCCATCCACAATATCCATCTTGATCATGCCAAGGTTAGTCAGCAGTAGCATTGGGTCGATCCCCTGACCACTGCTTTTAATATTCTCCAGTACCTTAAGACACTTGTATGACTTGAGTTCACTTATATTCTCCTCCAAGAAAAGATTGTAGAGGCTCAAGTCGTTGTACCCTTCAGACTTGAAATGCAGAACATCAAACGTGGGCAGAATTTCATACACTTTGAGAACATCTGTCTTCTGTCGCAATGGAACAAACAGTGTATAGACAACCACAGGGGCCAGCAGCACATACACCATGAGGTTAATGAAGCTGAGCAACTGGAAGATGCCGACTGCGATGAGCTTGCACTGAAACTGATCGGGGACAGTGCTGTCGTTTCTCAGGATCCCTGATTTGATGCTGCACACAAACTCATCTGAGAGTGAGGACAGGCTGAAGTAATACCCCAGGTACATGCATGCTAACAGTATGACAGTGAGTGTTATCAGCCGGCAGCCAATGTACTTGACAATCAAATTACTGGAATTTTTCTTTGTCTTCAAGTACTGTTCCACAATTGGGTACTTGAAGTGGCTTTCAGATATCTCCCACAAACTAAAAAGAAAAGGAAACAAATGAAAATAATTTAGATACTCAAATATTAAAGACATAAAAACATCCAACAATGTCACTAAAAATTTCAAACACCCATACTTCTCTACCTATAACTTTATTAGGGTAGTAAGGAATAACATTCAAGTTGAAAAAGTGGGAGTAAGAAAAGAAATAACAAAATACCTTTCCTCTTAATATTTTAAAGAAAGTCTAGTTAATTAAGTGAGTTAGTACTCAGAAATTCTTAGAATAATACTAGAACTTAATTGTCTGTTAAATAATCAGTTCCTAAGTAGGAACTACTGCTTTGGTTAACTACAATTTTTTCACAGAATACATTATTCCACAGAATAAGCTAAAGAAATGTTCAGCTCAATTGCAACACATAAGCCTTAAGCAGAGAAGGTCTGGAGACACTCGAGGGCACAGGCCTGTGGGGCCCAATTGAGATGGTTCTGAGCCCAGCTGTCTCACTTACAGCTATTGGGACAGTGCTTTTATCTGGAAAAAATAGGTAAGTGGAGTAAATAAATACACTTAGTTAAAAATGTTGTTCTGAGAGTTAAATGAGAAAATGTACTCAAAGACCACAACACAGTGTCTGGAATATACTATGTATTAAAAAAAAAAGTACAGCTATTATCATTACTGTTAATAATAAGAACTAGAGGAAGAATACAAGAAGACAAGGCACTACCAACTTTTTTTTTCCATTTCTTTCACAATTCTCTCTCTAAGTTTGATTCTCAAAATCCTCTGTGCTTTTCCACAGAGGAAGCTGTATACAGTACCTTCATCTGCTGCCCCTGTGAGAACTGCATATAAAAAGGAGATGCTGACATTTTACTTAACAAGGATGGTGTCTTGATAGGATAGATGTTGGGAACATATGGGTGGATACACTTTGGGGAGAGTGGGTGTTTCTGGCTCCCATAGACTGTCCCTGGGTGGATGACGCCTCTCCCCTTTAATTTACAAGCAGTGTAAATGGCAGACTGGCAGGAGAAAGGCAGAGAATGAGTACTACTGAACCTGTTGAGCTACCTGCTAGGGGCTAAGTTACCTTTGCCCTATGTTCTCATTAACACCTGGAACCGGGCAGGCACCATCTCTGAGATCCAGGTCACGTGCACTCCTTGCAGCCTTAATTGCTCGGTTGTAAACTTTGTCAAGTTCTTCCATGATAAACTTCAAGTCTGAGCAAAGATGAGGAGCAGCTGTGAAACGCCAGAACAACGTGGGCAGGTACAGGAGGATGGCAAATAGTAACAGGATGTAGGGGAAAAACTGAAAAACAAGAGAGCAAAACATGGGCTTAACAGGCCCCTGCCTGGTAGTAACAGTCACCTAATCTGCTATGTGTGGCTCACTTCTTCTCATTTTGAGACAAATGTGCATGCCCCTGTCACTTATGGAAACTGAGCTTATTACTTAGTGACAATTGCTTATGGCTAAATGCACCTGTCCAGGCAAAATGTAACCAAAACTTAATTTGACAGATATTAATTTGAAATAGTCAACAACAATGTGACACAGTATTTTCTTTCTAATCATAGAAGGAAAAGAAAAAAATAAATAAAATCACTCCCATGTCCTAAAGATCAATCTCTGAAAAAAAAAAAAAATTCCAATTAAAAAAAACAAGTGAGGGCTGGGGATGTGGCTCAAGCGGTAGCACGCTCGCCCGGCATGCGTGTGGCCCAGGTTCGATCCTCAGCACCACATACAAAGATGTTGTGTCCACTGAAAACTAAAAAATAAATATTAAAATTCTCTCTTTCTCTCTCTCTCTTTAAAAAAACCCAAGTGAATGTCATAACAGACTGCTGGGGTTTTTTTGAAAAATCATTTATTATAGGTTTAAGAAGCAACTAAGGATTAAAACTCTGATTTTCTTTACTCTCTAGAATCTGGTAAAATGTCAAAGAAACACCTAACTTCACCCAAAACAAATTAGAAAAATTCTGGCTTCAGTGATTATCTCAATAAGACAGCTGGAAAAAGCAGTGCAAATTCAGAGAAATGGAAGGAACCATTAGTGCTAGAACAAACCAGGAAGATCCAACAATCCAGCCCCCTCATTTTACAGTTGAACAACCTGAAGTCCAGAGAAGCCAACCACCACGGGCAACAGAATTGAGAAGAGGGCTTCTGGATATGAGGTACACATAAAACAGAGGAGAGGGGATTTGGAGTCAATAAATGTGAGGGGCGACTTGGAGCCTGGCCCGCCAGGGAAGGAAGGCTAAGGAAGATCTGACCACAAGCTAGCATTGAGCTTGATTGAAACTCAGTTTTGTGTTCAGGAACAGTGAGGTCACTAAGCCTCTAACTCTCAGCGTCACTCCTCATGAAATGGACATGAATACGGATGTGGGGAAGATTAAATTAGATCACTTATGAAAAAATGCTTCGCATGGTACCTGGCATGTAATAGGCAAATACATCAAATACACCAAAACCAATAGAAGGGCTAGCCAGGTGAGTGGTTATTTTTAGCTCTCACAATGACCCTAGCAGAGCTATATGGATTGCTCCATTGCCCAAAGGAAGAGAGGAAGCTCAGAGCAGTTTCTGGCCCCAGATCACAAAGCTGGTAAACTGGTAATACCTCTCACCCTAGAACCATGCCTTTTGCATCCTAATATACTCTACTTCAATTTACTTCTCTGGAAAAACTCTCCTTACCTTTGGAGTGGCCTGTCTCCACAGTTCTTTGGAGTGGTACCTGGAAGAGGCCACGATGGCCTTGAGATGATGCAAACCCCCACCCCAGCATCTGTGGGAGTGGCCATCAGAGCCCACCCCACAGCTCTCACTAACTGCAGCTGCACAGAAGACAGTATAGTTCCCATGACCTCCTCACCATTCCCCCTGTAAGAAACGGATATTGGCACACCACTGTGAACCATGCTCCTGACTTTCATCTGGATTTCACAGTTTTTCCATCATTGTCCTCTTTCTGTCCCAAGACACAGTGCCAGCACCCAATGTAGTTAGTTGTCCTGTCTCCTGGCTGTCCTTGGTTTTGTGAAAGTTCCTCAGTCATTGTTTCATGGAAACAATTTTTTTTTTTTTTTAACAGAAAGGAGATCAGTAGATTAGAGGAGGAAGACCAGGGGGAGGGAGGCAAGGAGGGATAGGGGAGATGCTGGGGAAGAGAACTGACCAAATTATATTATGTATGTGTAGGAATATGTCAGAATGAATTCTACTATTATGTAAAATTATAATGCACCAATTAAAAAGTTAATTAAAATATTTTAAGTGCATAATTAATACACATATATTCACAGGGAAAATGGGATTACATTCATGTAAAGTTATCAAAACATTTTAAAAACACATGAAGGATCCACTAGATGGTCTAATAACTATCATACATTTGAAGTAGTGAAGAATAAACAATATTCCAGGGTACCTGTGATTTTGGTGGTGACACTACTATATGTTATTACCTACATACAATTTTTTAGTGTTAAATTTTAGTGAGAAGTGAATGAAAAATAAAGTTGTTATTTATTTTCCTGTCCCCATTCATGGACGCCCAATGCTATTAGGACCCACATTAGGAATCCCTAAAAAGGGGGAATTGAACAAAATGGCCCTGAAACTTTATAAAGCCCTCTCACCAAGACAGTATTATTGTGGGGTTCTGGCATGGAATAGGGTTTCTCAAAATTATTAACCCAATTTGCAAAGGGTACACCAAGTCATGTGTGGCAGGCTACGATTAGTTGAATTTTGGCTGCATAATTCAGAGTTGGCTTTAAAGAGAAACAATGCTCATTCAATCCCCGCCTACTCTGATGGTTGTCCATTAGTATAAAAATGGAACTGCATGACTGTGCTGCTTTCACAACTAAGAAAGCCTGGCATTTCCTCTGGGAACCACAGGGAAATTTATTTCTAACTTGGGCTTGTGAAATGTTTTGTATGTCACTTTTGTTTCAAAGCTATTTGAATAACAGCATTTTACCTCAAACTGTTCTCCTAAATTAAAAAGTGACTGTTTATGGTCTGTGGCAATTTTTCTAACATGCCCAAGCTATGCAATGATTAGTACCAATGAACAGTTCAGAAAAGTTTACTGTAATTAGAAAAACAAATATTTAAAGGTATTACATATTGAGTATTTTCCTTTTTCCTAAATCATCTTATACCCTGATCACCTCTGTAGGAATGTAGTTGAATACTCCATTTCCTGATTTTCCCCAAGCTAAACTGCTTTCCTGCCCGCCAAAAATAAGACAGCCAACTTTCAGTGAGTCTTTAACAAGGTAGTAACATCAATTCAACTGAAACAGAAATCCAGAAAGCATTAAATTACAGTCTTTAGAATCCTTTCATCCAAACAAGGAACATAGAAGACATGCAGTGCTTTGAGAGTGATTTGTTCATAGGCTCTGTCTACTCCATGTTAGGTCTGAGATGCTCAGCTTCTCTTAAAACCATGATTGTACTATTTTGTAGGATGTATCAGTTAGTACTGAGCTCTTCTAAGACAGTGAGACACTAAGCAGTTGTTCCAACAATTTTCAGTCTATTTGCTTAAAAATTTCTGTTGTTTCTGGAAGGGGCTGTAGTTAGAATAACAGAACCCCCAGGTGGAAGGATCCTTAAAGGTGATCCAATATACCCTCCCTCCATGGTAAATCCCTGCCACTCTATCTAAGGCAGAGAACCATCCAAGTAGGATGAATCACTCCTCTCTGGAATGCATATGGTCTTGTCTTATGGGTTCAAACACAGATAGGTGAATTTACTCAGAAACAACTCCCAGGGACCTGTTTTGCGCCATGAAGCAGACAGAACACAAGCCCTCTCAGACCAAGTGCAAGATCTGTCCCAAGATCACAAAGGATGAAGAATTAAATAGCCAAAGCATAGAATATGTAGGTACTGAACACTGAGGGAATAGAAAATTTCTGGGAAGGCCACAAAAACTTCATAAAAGAGGTAACCAATACCTGAACTATGTCTTAAAGTATAGGTAGGTAATAAAAATTAAAACAAAACAAAATCTTACTATGTTAAGACTCAGTCATTGGATTAGAAACCACTCTAACTGCTATGACATTGTCATATTAATTACATATACAATGACCCCATTTCCAAATAATATCATATTCTGAGGTTACAGAATGACATGAATTTTTAGGGGACACCATTCAACCCAGAACACTCTTCCAGCCTCAGTTCTTTCTACTTTCTCATTTGTGAGCTTGTTGTTTATTTTGATGTCTTAGATGGCTGAGAATTCAGAGGATAAAAGGCTTCTGAGTAGGGGAGGATGGATTCCCACAGGGCAGCAAAGGAAGAGACTTCACTCAGGTCTGCATGAAAACAGAAATTAAGGCAGGGAGTTCCCTCCGTGGAGTCTTGTCAACTAGTGGTGGTACGTGTCTTTAGGATTCTAGATAGGGGTCTACAAAGGTTTTCCTTTAAAGAGCTGAAGAGTAAATACTAGAGGCTTTGTGAGCCATACAGTTTCTGTTACAACTATTCAACTCTGCCATTATGGTATAAAAGCAGTCGCAGATAAAGTATAAATAAATGAGGAAAGCTGTGTCCAAAAAAGCTTTATTTACATAAAGAGAATAGGTTTGGCCTGAGCATGGGTATCATGGTTTGCCAACCCTCGCTCTGGATTCTTGCTTCTCAAAGATTGGTTTGATCCACAGAACAGTAACTTCAGTTATCTCCTGGGAGGCTGTTAGAAATGCAGAATTGGAGGCCCCCATCAGGCCTACTGAATTGGAGTCTACATTTTCACAAGATGCCCAGCTGATTGCATGAACACAGAATTTGAGAAACAGCAGTCTGCAAGAATGGTGCCCATGTTGGACTCCATTCCAGGCTGGAAGCAGCAGAATCTCCTGTGAAGCTGATGAAATTTCCAGAGATTCCAACCTAATGGTCTCGATGGGACTCAGGACCCTGTATTTTCTCAAGCCCCCTCAGGTAATGCTAAGGAAACCTGTCTGGCAGCCTCAAGGACTCTTCTAACTAAGTTTCTGTGAAACTACTTAAGAGAAATAAAGAAAGATTTGCCCACTTTGTTTAACATTTTTTATTCTTGTTGATTTTATTTTTCATTTTCTGTTTCAGGCGAAAATCTTGCCAACAGTTGCTTGTCTACACTCTAAACTTCAAGAACAGAACATTTTAAAAAAAAAAAAAAAGGCTAGTAATAAAGCAGTCCCAGAGCACCACCTGCTGGTGTTTCTGAATGCACCCACACCTCCAGCCAAGACCTCTCTCCCGCTCCACTGGAGGCCATCAGC